GCAGAAATGTTCTTTCTTTTTTTCTTATAAGATATATGTTCAAAAGTTTTTACTAATTGACTAATTTTTAACTATTTGAATACTTACCTTTTATGTAATAGGGAATAGAGCAGAATGAATTAATATCAGAAAATTGATCAGTTTCTGATATAAGAGGACTCATAATGGATAGAACGTCCAAATGGAGAGATTCTTGCATAGTTTGGATTGTAAATAAATCCGAGTAGTTAGAACCAATCGTCTAGAAACAAAACGAAAGAATAAAAAAATTTATAAACATTCAATAAAGAGCTATTCGTATTTGCAACGTGAAGTAGCATCAATTACATGTTTCTTAGAAATATATTTATTTTCTATTTTTTAATTTCGAATTAAAAAATGTGTAATTTATTCATAGTTATTCTCTGCAAATATCTTTAATAAAAGTGTCAAGATGTTTTTAAACAGCACTTGACTGAAATTATTTAGAAAAATTGCTGAAGACTTCCCTAGTACCATTTTAAAACGTAAAAGAACTTTATTTTATAATAAAATAACATAAGGGATACATAAGAAATTTACCTCCTTAACAACATCCGTTACATAGAAAAATGTAGCAATACCTTCGTTCAGCCACATATAAGACCAACTTGATGGGCTGACTACAGTACTCAACCATTGACGTGATATTTTACGTCCTATTAAAGACTCCACTTTCAATTTTTGCGCAATAGGATCTAATTCTTTATTATAGATAATATCTTCATCTCTAAAAATCATTTATAATTAACGCGGTTATGTTGATTTTCTGTTATCAACACGCTATGTTATTAATTCTGCTATTAATCAGTTTATATCAGAATGCTTTATTATCAGGTGGGTCGACTTTTAACTTCAATACGTATGAGAAAATATTGTCAATTTATTTTTATAAAATAAAACATTAGTTCTCGAATTATTTGTGAAAAATATATTTCGATTACAGTTGTAATTACATTAAAGACATAATGAGCATATTTTTATGTATGACTTTTATTAGTTCTTAATTTTTGATAGTCTGATTGTTGTCTATCGAGATTTTTAGCGAAATATCTGTAAGCGATGTTAAATACATCTGAAAATATTTCGAATTTGTCACGCCATATTTGATTTTGCTTTAGAAATAATAAATACCTATACTTTAACGCAGAAATTATATCCATGTTTAACAACTGACAAGGCAAGACATGATGTAGCTACCCAATAAAAGCAAAATATTGACAATATTCTAACATTTTAACAGTTTGCTAACAGAATCAAACGGAATCTGTCTATTTTGTACACCTTTAAATGATCACGAAATGGCAGATTCAACTTGATTTCTGCAATCGTTCTGCCGACAATTCTGATAACAGAATATCTATTCTATTTCTGTTGACATTTAACTTTAATAAACTTTATAACAGATATTTTGCAAAATCTATTTTCGATATATTTAACTATTGTAGGTGTTTTAGAACTGTAATATGTATACATGTAATATAATAATTTTTTATAAATACAAGTTATTTTGCAACATCTTTACAAAAGATTTACACACTTGATAAACCAGCAAAGAAATTAAAATTTACATGATTTAGAATAGTTAATATTAATAGAATAAATACAATTTCTGAAACAATATGGTTTTTTTATTTAATCCGTCTACTTGTCATTGTTATGCAATAATGATGATGTCCGTTAAAGAATCAAAGTTATTCATACGTTTGAATAAAGTTCTAACACATTCATTTAGTTTGAAATATATAATAATCATATTGTATTTTGCAGCAAAAATCAATCTAATGAATGTATCTGTATTGCCAAGCAATTTTTCGATCTTCGGTTAAGAGTACAGAACATGAGATCAACATTAATCAGGTCATCATATCCCGAAAATTAAAAGAAAATTACATATATTTATACGCATGTAGTCGAATTCTTGTCGGATGTAATTATATAAAAGTAATAGGATAAAATTCTTCAAAAGTAATATACGATAAAATTTATCAAAATATAAATACAATATATTTATTATTTTTTTACATGTTTATATCAGAAATAAAATATAAAATATTTGGTAAAATAAATGCAATTTTTATTTGAAAAAATAAAGAAGATCCGCACTGCTTCTCGAATGATTTGACAAAGCTCTACTGGTTTTAAAATTGATATTTTCTTCTGCAGAATCGTATATATTTTTAAAAAAATTACATTGTTTCTTTCCGAATGATATACACTAAAGTTCATTTAAGTTATGATAATTATAACTTTAATCTGCTAGTATTATAGAACGTAAAAATTCTCTTTACGATAAAGTGCATTTTAATAAAATAATATTTAAATTTATTGTTATTAAAATATCTCATAGTTTAAAGTTTTTTATATAAAAATATAAAGTATAATGTATCATGTACTGTTATGATACTTACAAATTTCTACCGAAGTCTATCTAGCTCTGTAAAGATGTACAGATTTTCCAACTATTAAATGTATTTAACTATTAAATTATAAGCTATTTAATAAGGACAAAAACAATCTTATCTTTTCACAGATCCATGTCCAATTGTAATTTTAAAATATTTATGTTTAATTATATATATTACCTATAAGATGTATAATACCTCTAAGATATGTATTACCTGTAAAAAACGAGCGCCCACTTTGCCATACCGTCATCTAGTAAACCTGGAATCCCGACGTATTGCACATTTGAAAAGTTCTGCAATTCTTTCCACTTATTGTTAGTCTCGAAATAAGACGTAAAAGTTGTAACAACGCGTCTTGCAAAACTTTGGTCACTTGTCGATTGCTGCCCGTCTCGCCAATTAATGCAGGGCAATTCACATAGTACAATAGCTATGAGATGAGTGGGTATTGCTGGAGTAGTGTTGAAAGATGTAAGTGCAGTGTCATTTATA